TTGGCAAGTGGTCAAGTGGTGCAGGCAAGTGGTCAAGTGGTGCAGGCAAGTGGGCAAGTGGTGTGACTAAAGCAGGGTCGTCGTCATACAGTCAAGGGAGAGTCTAGAAAGTACCAGTCCGGTCCAGCAAGTACCACGGGGGGAACTGTGTGCACCATGGGCCAGGGACACAGGGCAGACCAATGCAGCACAGAAGTATAAATCAAGAGGCTACGTCCATTCATGGGGGGATTCCTGCGGATGCCAGGCGGAAGCGCTGCCTTAGCAGCTTGTGCGAGGCGGTCTGCAGTGCGCCCGAAGACGAAGTGGGCAGAGAAGTGTAGTGTAGCGATAGGGTAGGGGCAGCTAGCGCTGCCATAGCTGTAGCATAGTATGTGTGTGTGTTGTGTATGATACTGAGTGTTGCGTGTGGGACATCCAGGGTGATCCAGGGTGCGAACAGTGAGTTGTGTGGGCGCCCAGTCACCATAGCCAGTTGAAGAGAACTCATATCTGGTTACGATATCTTGAGTACTGTGTGGGCGCATGTCGCCAGTTGCTGTACCGCTGTTTGCAGGCATGACAAAGTGACAAGAAGACGAGTTTGATTTCACTTAAATGCAGCACTTTTTTTTTTTTTTTTTTTTTTTTCAGATTCCATACTGAATCTCGTGGTCACCCTCTGGCAAAGGATGTTTGATTTGCCTTCACGGCTGGAACGGTCCACCCAAAATAGCCCAAACCACCCAGCGAGTCAATAAAGTCCCAATCTGGTATTGGGGGTCCAAGAGCGCCATTCCCCTACATCGCTTAGGCTACACCTCCCAGGCCACCTTGGGTAGGCAAGGTGCATCCATATTGTTCTCCTTCCACAAGGCCGGAGTGCCTGTATCATGCTGTAGAGGTTGCCCCTTCTTTTCAAAAAAAAAAAAAAAAAAAAAAAAAAAAAAAAGAGTTTGCTAACTTTCGTTTGCAGGTCGGCCTTCACAGGGGGCATGGCGCACGGCCTTCACAGGTAACTTCCGTTTGCACAATGCCCCTTCTTAAAAAAGAAAAAAAAAAAGTTCGGTGACTTTCACACTCTAGCTTTCCCCTTCTTCTTCTTCTTTTTTTCCCCCTTTTTTCCAATAATTTGCACCATTTGTCCAGATGTGTGTGTGTGTGTGTGTGTGTGTGTGTGTGTGTGTGGTCTGTGTGTCAGTCATCCTTGAATGCCCAGGGGCCATATGGTAATAACAATTTTCTCTGTATTGTTCTATTTTTAGCGGTTGAGATGCCCTGAGGGACTGCACCCTTTTCTTTTCTTTTCTTTTCTTTTTTTCTTTGTTTTTTAACTTCTTTTAGCAAAATCGCAGAAACTGAAAATGGGCCTAGGTCAGTTCGAATACACACGAACTGCTAGTCAAATACGGACTCGAGTTCCACTCAAGACATAACTTTATGGATGAAATAAAAGTTATAAATTTTATAAAACATCATTTCTGAATCACCTGAGCCCGGTCAGTTGGACGATCATATCTGAAGCCCAGGTTCCCTTTAACGTTCAATTGCAAAATGAACACTGGAATAGAGAACAAAATCGATGATGAAATCCGTTTTAGAGGGGTGGGGTGGGGGGGGAGGGGTGGAAGCAGTACCTTGTAGCAGCCATTTTTTAATGCAACTTTCTCTAAAGCTTGTATCAGCCTGCATGCCACCACAACCAACCAATACAGCCAGGAGCATCAGAATTGCACACAAAAAAAAAAAAAAAAAAAAAAAAGAAGGTCGATGAAGGACCATTGTTTTTTTTGTCAGAACGGATATAAATAATCATGATCACTCTAGTTTTTGCATTGAATGATTGAACCACATTGTTTGTCACCGTGAGCACACACACACATTGAGAGATCACACGAAAGTGACGAAACCAACCCTGGAGACCAGAGAGACAAAGTCCAGATTAGCGCAGCTTAGAGATTCCAACGATTTATCATATTAAACAGTTTCGGAGTTCCAGTCACCAAGCGCTCAACAGCGCAGAGTTCACCAACCCGAATCCAGCATCCTCGTCCAGGTAGGTGACCTCCTCTCTCCCCGTCTGACTCTCTCTCTCTCTCTCTCTCTCTCTCTCTCTCTCTCTCTCTCTCTCTCTCTCTCTCTCTCTCTCTCTCTCCATGAAGATATTGACTCTGGATACATCTGCTACTTCTCAGCTCTACCTCCTCCTACTAGCTGTGCGGCTATGGCCGCCTTCCTCTCACAGTGCAGCGCTGCCCAGCCAGGGTTTTAGCGCATGCTACTCGCAGATAGCGCACAAGCGCTCGGCAGCACTTCCACACTTCTCGTGAATGAGCAATCTGTTCGAAAGGTGGCTGGCCAGTCCAGGAGGTGGAAAGGGTCACGTCCTCCCTCCCATCCCCCC